AGAGACCATGTTGTCAGCTCTCACAAAGCACGGTGTCATTTACTCCAGGACAGAAAACATTGTAAATATATGTGGAGTCCGCATACGTGCTCCACTTCTCAAGTCTTGCCAACTGTGCAAGGGACACCTGCAAAGCCAGTGCCTGGATCCTTCGGTTCCTGGCTCTCAGGTCTCACTGTGCTGTGACTCTAAGCAGAGCTGAGTCTTTATTCACCCCACCCCATCCCAACACCTGCTTTGGAAGAACCTCTTGACGGAGGATGAGTCCGGATGAGGTATTTCCATAAAAGATCAGTCAAGGTTACACGGGGCTTGTTTGCCTGGCTGTAATGTGGGATCCCAGTGACCATGGCCCGTGCATCCTACAAGCGTGGATACAGCAGACCTTTTCCAGCTGTTTGCCTGTGAGTCCCTCTCACCTCCTCTCAGTATTCCCTTCGACTGTTGCAGTTATGGGAATTCGGTCAAACCTCACACGTCCCCAGCCTTAGTCTAACTCTGCTTTGGCAAAGGTATGACCAGCAATAGCTGTGAAGGTATCTCCTGTTGTATCCAGCGACACTCTCAGCCATTTTCTCACGCTGTAGCCAGGCCCATGGCTTCCCTCGTTTGTTTGCAAGTGCAACAGCTCTTCAGCCCAGCTATAGATTTGTTCTGCCTGGGTTGGCTCTGAGAAGTTCTCTCTATTGCAGCGCGCTCTGGGACATTGAGACAGGGCAGCAGAAGACCGTGTTCCTGGGTCACACCGGAGACTGTATGAGCTTGGCCGTCTCCCCAGACTTCAAACTCTTCATCTCTGGGGCTTGCGATGCTACTGCCAAACTGTGGGACGTGCGGGAGGGCACCTGCCGTCAGACCTTCTCAGGGCACGAGTCCGATATCAACGCCATCTGCGTATGTATGCTGTCTGCACAGTGGTGGGGGGGCAAGGGAAACGGAGGGTGGACCAGCTCTGAAACGGGGTCTGGGGACAAGGATGAAAGAAGCTGTCACGGTCCTGTGGGGAACATGGTCTCAGGAGACCTTGGCCCCATGATCCAGTCTGATGCAGGAAAGGCCAGAGTTCACTGAAGTTTGGGGGCTGGCTCTTCCCAGGCACCGGTGCACCGAAGCATCTAGGTCTGACTCAAAGCACTGCTTGGACTCAGCCAGCACACCGTGGTCTGTAGAGCTCAGCGCCCTTGCACAGGTGCTGGTGCAGCTTTGCTCATATAGGAGCTGTTGGGAACCATGGTTCGGGCATGTTCCAGGAGCCTTGGCGCAAGGCATAAGTGGGGCAGCAGGAATACCTAACTCAGCTGAGGGTCTTGGTCAGCTCCAGACAGCAGAGGTGGGAACTTGGGATCAGAGGGAGGTCTTCTGAAGATGAGGTTTTCACAGGAGGCAGCACAGTCATTTTGGGGCAAGTATCCCCCTCAGAGGCAAGGGTTCAAACCAGAGACCTAGAGGTGGCAGGGCAAGAAATATGTCAGTTTAATCCTGTGCGGCTAACCAAATGAGTCTGGCAGCTCCCTGCAATGTCTGCAGCTTGAACCACCCTTCACTGACCTCAATTAGTGCAGCTTTTCTCACCTGTCCCATGGTTACCCTGCCAGCCGTATGGTTTTCTGCCATACCTGCTCCTGAGGAGCTCTTTTTTGCTCCTCAGAGCAAGGACGCAGAAAAGGAGTGTGCATGAGAAGGTTGGGGCATGAGGATCAGACAGAGGAAGGCTCTTGTAGCTCTGAATCGTGCCAGACCCCATCTGGGGGATAACGGGTGGACACTTGTCAAGCCCCAAACTAACAGCTGGAGTTAAAGAGACAATAATCCTTCCTCAAGCACTGGGACGTCTTGCAATAGCTCTGGCCCCTAGGTCATTGGCTTTCTTGAGGTGGGAAGGGGTTTACTAGGTCTTAGGAGAAGCATCAGTCTCCCCCTCCAGCAGACTGAACTTGTATGATCCAGTGTCGTCCCACCGGGATTTCCAACCTCCGTGGCTTCCTGGTGGTTAGCAGGGAGGCGAAGAGTTGAGGCACAGCCTGATTAAAATCTGGTGTGTGCCTTCCTCAGTTCTTCCCCAACGGTGAAGCCATCTGCACCGGCTCAGATGATGCCACCTGCCGACTCTTTGACCTCCGGGCAGACCAGGAGCTCATCGTGTACTCTCATGAGAGCATCATCTGCGGAATCACATCAGTCGCCTTCTCCCGCAGTGGGCGCCTCTTGCTTGCTGGATATGATGACTTCAACTGCAACATCTGGGACTCCCTGAAAGCAGAGCGTGTGGGTGAGTGGCTCCTGGAGGTCCCTCTTTCATTCCCTGCAAGGTCATCTGTCCCTACCAAGGCAAAGAAAAGGCCTTTGTTTTTTCTAAAAGGGATACATCCTATACTGACTGAAACCCAACCAAGCTTCCTCGCACTTAAGGAGCACACCATAACTAGTACAACTCTTTTGTGCAGAACTATTGTTTTTAATGTTAAGGAAGTCAAGCCTTTAAACAACATTGTTTCAAGGGGGGAAAGAGCATTAAGGTTCCTATTAGCTAAAACTGCTCACAAGCACCAGTAGTATTTCCTACTTTCTCCTAGCCTCTGCCATTTGCCAGTCCCAGCTACTCACAGTGTCACCTGGTGGCCAGGCGCCAAGCTGAATATCGACCTGGGCTTCCATCCATCATCTTTGGATACTCTGTGATGCTCATACACAGAATACACCCAAGTGCCATTTTTTTCTTTCTGATGAGGCCCCTAGCCTCTCAAAACGTATAACGCAGCCCACCAACGGAGTTACTATTTCTCAGTTTTATCAAGGACACCATCCTTTCTTAGTCCAACCATTGCTCCAGGGTGAAAGCAGTTGTACGAGGGTTCAGCTAGCCAGACCTTCCCGAGAACATTGTTCTTTGGCCAGTCCCGTGCGTGCTGGTCATATGCCACACACAAATGTCCTCCTGCATGTTTGTTCTTATTAGCCACGTACCAATTGTAACACGTTGTGCAGGAACAGACAGCGCGATACACAGGGGTGTAGGTACGCAGCCTACGATGCGTGTCCTCAGCGTGGTCAACCCCTTCGTCTCTTCCAGACCCCGCTTCTTTTCCTGACCTCTCTTCTTTCCCCCCATAGGAATCCTTTCTGGCCATGACAACAGAGTGAGCTGCCTGGGGGTGACAGCAGACGGCATGGCCGTTGCCACCGGCTCCTGGGACAGCTTCCTCAAGGTTTGGAACTGAGGACGGCAGCAGAGAGGGAGAGAGCAGTGGAAGCACGGCCCGCAGCCCGAGCCCACGCAAAAACAGCATCGTCAGCTGAGCACAACAGAAACGCCTACCTACCACTCCCGCTTGTCTCTAGACACAGGTCACTTGTAGGGGTCTCCCAGAGTGAAAGGGGAAGGGGAGCAGGGGGAGCTGGGGAGCAGGAGCACACACACTGGCCCTTCTCTCCATCTCTAAACAGGCCCAGCAGCTTCCAGCCTCGTGCGGGCTTGAAGACTTCCAAAACACCGTTCACCATGTCTCAGGACTTTACAGTACAGTGCAGACACCCTGTGTCTTCCTTCGAACGCCTCTACCCGTGTTGACACCTACCCTTCAGAGGACCCCTTATCCAACACTTCTGTTCCAGACTAAGCTCTGTCCCCGATTTGACTCTACCTAGCTTCCCTGTGCAGCTGTCCTATATCCCTGCAGACAGCCTCAGAGGCGTACTGGATTTGAGATTTCTATCATGCAACCTCAAACAAAAAAGCTAGTGTAAATTGGGTTCATTTTCCATTGGGGAAGACATAGCTCAAGTCTTATCTATGCATAAATGGGGGAAAGGTAGCCCTCAGACCTGCCAGAATACCAGGGAATATTATATTTATTCTTATTTATTGTCTGCTTCTTGCTGTTCCTTCTCTTTTTGCCTCACTCCTGCATCGTGTGGTGACCCCGTCTAACCAGTAGCCACCAACCCCTGTTTTCAAGTCTGTTATAGATCTTCATAGCCCAGGCAAATAAAGCTCACATAAGCACTGCAGGCTGTGTTCTTTCCAGCATTGCAATGAGCTACTGCAAACTCTCCTTCCCTGAATACTGCCAGCTGATCCCATCCAGAGAACTTCTTACCTGCAGGCCTTGCTCTACCTCAGGGTCCCCAGGGGAGGGTGTTCCTACCTATGTCGTAGCTGAGAAGAGGCTGTTAGTCCAGAGGCTTGCTGCCCTAAAGTGGGGATAGCAAGCTGAAAATGCATACTTGCAAACTTTGGCAATTTGAGCTCAATTACAGGACACAACCATTATACTCAGCCCCTATTCCAGTCGTTGGCTCCTAGCAACATGCTGGGGTCCCAAGGCTCTGCTCGGGAGAGTTGAAGGTCAACAAGGTGTAGTGACTTATCAACAGAAGGTCAAGATGTTAATGCGCAATGCCATCTCATCCTATTTTGGATCTCACCCTCACGCCAGACCCTTGCAACAGGCTACTGTCCTTTGTATACATTAGCTTCAGGTCAGTGTAGGCACAGCAGAACACCAGAAGTGACACTAAATACTCTCCTGCACAGAGCTGCAGCTTCCCAGCCCATTCTATAGGTCAGAGCCTTCTCAGCACAGCTCTGTGGTGGCATGTTACAGGCAGTGGACAGAGCTGAGTTTTAGGCCTAATGGAAGGCTGAACTGTTTGTTCCTGAGTCCTTGTCCCCAAAGAAAACATTGCACCAGGCAAGCAGGGGGCTCCTAGTGTCCTATCAGGACATAAAGTCAGCAAAAATTTAATGCAAATTTATTTGCTACAGATAAAAACTCTACAGTAAGTCAATACAGATAATATACAACAGAAGAGCTAAAGTCTGTACTGTACATAAGACATGCAAAACTAGGAGAGAGAGTGTGTGCTCTTTCCCTTTTCCCCATCAGGGATAGGTAAGAAGAGCAACAAGTCGAGTTTCAGTCTATGGCAGGGTTTCTCGCTCCTAGAAGACTCTCAAAACATAGAAGTAAATTACAGCAAGATCCTGGAAAGGGAAATCTCTAGTTCTCCACAAAAGGACACCGTTGGTTCTCTTTGTTCAAGTCTCTCCAAGCACAGTTCCCAGATTTGAGGCTCCTGCTCAGATCCACCGTCACTTCCTTCTTCTCCCCAAGGTTCTCTCCCAACGCATGCCTCTTACCCTAGAGAAACAAAAAATACCAAGCATACAGCATAAAACACAAGTTAATTGAGGGTTAGTTTATTCTCAGTAGAACGCATAGCCCATTTGCAGACCCTTCAGCTTTGGCTCTCTTGTGACAATGCCCAAGAGTGATGGAATTCTTTCTACGGCCTAAAGAGAAAGGATGCACTGAAGTGGGCAATATCATGGTAAGGCCAAAGATACAGACATTGAACAAGACTTGGAGGCCTCTAGGGACAAGACTGACCCACAGAAAAACACTTACGAAACCACCAGTTCCAAACTGGGGGCCTACAAAATAAAGAAACTGAAGGATTTGTGTTTTTTTCAGCCCATTCTCCCTCCCACAGTATGGCTCATTAAGGTTTACCTGGCGAGGGGCAGGAGCACTGGGGGAGTTATCATCTTGTAGGATGCTGAGGGGAGAGCGGCCAGTTCCACCAGATGTTGTCATGATTTTGTTATTGGTCTTGCGTCTTACAGGCTTGCTCCCTAGTGACAGAAGGAAACACGTCAGTGTGTCACGACAAGGCTAAAGGGTCCTGGGTTTTAAATGCCACCTGGCCTTTATCATCTAGCTTGCTTGACTGAACAGCAAAGGCTATTACCCAAGGACTTCCAGATAAAGGGATCACAGAAAAGTTGAGGTTGGAAGGGAGCTCTGGGCCCCCTGCTCCAGTATGGCCACCTAGAGCTGGTTGCCCAGGACCATGTCCAGATGGCTTTTGAATATCTCCAAGAATAGAAACTCTGTAACCTCCCTGGGCAAACCTGCTCCAGTGCTTTGTCATCCTCACAGTGAAAAAAGTGTTTCCTCATGGTCAGATGGAGCTTCCTACAGTCCAGTTTGTGTCTATCGCCTCTGGTGCCATCACTGGGCACCACTGAGAAGAGCCTGGCTCTCCCTTATACCCTCCCTTCAGGTATTTATACTTATTAGTAAGATCCCCCTGAGCCTTCTCTTCTCCAGGCCGAACAGTCCCAGCTCCCAGCCTGTCCTCATCAGAGACATGCTCAGCAGAGTTTTCTGAGGCACAGTCTATATTAAATTAAAGCCTCTCAGCACCGCTCAGCCATAGCACTTAGATGTGCTCCCCCCCTTGCTCCCCAGCTCTTCCCAAGAAGAAACTCCAAGGTCCTGCTGAACAGGCCTCCAGGATTACAAGCCCGTCTCAGAGAGTGGAAGAGATGACATTCACCTCTCAGAGAAGCATATTTACCTCTCGATTTTGACTACCGATTGAAAACATGGTTTTTCAACTCCTGGCAAGAAACCAGTTCGATAAAAGAACAGTTCCCAAAGGGGGCCGCTCTGGTCTGCCAGCTGCAGACCCCCAGGGCCAGGCTGTCCGAGGTGACGGGGGACAGCCAAACCGGGGAGGGGGGGAACGGACAAGGTCTCCGTGAGGACGGGAGCCAGGAGAAGGCCCACGCCCCGGAGGGTGTTGACATGCTCGTCCCACGGACCGTGACGCTCCCCAGGCACACGGAGCTTTACCCGTGGGACCCCCCCACCGACCACTTACCCGAGGAGACGCCAGGCCCGGCAAGGCGGCCTGGCCGAGCCGGGGCTGCGCTGGGAGAGGGCGGCCTCTCCGCTTCTTCCCCCGGGGCGGCGGCGGGCGGGGAGCTCCGCCGGGCCGGTTCTTCCACCACCGGCTCCTCGTCGGGACTGGCCGGTCCGGGCTCCTGGGCCGCGGCCTCGGCCCCGAAGGCCTCGTTGAGCTGCCTCACCAGGCGGTCCAGGCTCTCTGCCGGGGAGGGACGGAGGGAGGACGGGGTGAGCCACCGGGCAGCCCACCCAACCCACCCGGGGCGGCCTCACTCACCACTCGACACCGCTCTCCTGGGCGTGTGGGAGACACCGGGCGTGGGCGACCGCGGGTCCTGGGCCTGCCTGCTCCCCGCCACCGGTTCGGCGGCACCGGGCTGAGGGCTGCCCGCCGGGGAACTCACCACCTGCGGAGAGAGCTAGGCGTGTAGGGGCGGCGGGCCGGGGTCCGCCGCGGGGGGAGGCGGGTGGGAGGGCGCCTACCTCGATGGGGGTGCGGAAGATGCCGGCGCTGGGGGAGCGGGGGTCGCTGACGTGCGCCAGGTGCTTGTTGTGGGGGGCGACCGGGGCGCTACCGGAGACCCCCATGGCGGCAGGTACTGCGCTGCTGCGCCGCCCTGCCCCGCCCCACCGGCCGCCGCGATTCAAATTTCCCGCGCCTCGGGAGGCGCCGTCCCATTGGCCCTCTGCGCGGAGGAGGGACCCGCCACGCCACGCCACGCCACGCCCCCCATCTCCCGCTGGGGCCGCCCGGCGGCTCCGCAGTCTCCGCCCGGCAACGTCCCGCCTCGCCCGCCGCCGGCCCGCTGTCAATCTCCGGGGAGCTCCCCGCCCCTATTGGCCGAGGAGCCCGGTACCTCCCCCCCAGCCCCACCCGCGACGGCAGAAGGATGGCTGCGATTGGGCCAACCGGCCGGGCGGTGCCGCCCGTCCCGTCCCTCAGCCTCGCCCGTGAGGCGCGGGATTGGCCAGAGCCCGCCTGACCACGCTGGGCCCTGATTGGTTAGGGTGGGGCCGTGGGCGGCGCAGCAGTGAGCCGCTGTCATGGCGGAGCTGAGCGAGGCGCTGCTCTCGGTGTTGCCGTCCATCCGGGTGCCCAAGGCCGGCGACCGGGTCCACAAGGACGAGTGCGCCTTTTCCTTTGACACGCCGGTAAGCGCTCCCCGCGGCCGGCCCGTCCGCTTCGCCGGGCTGCCCCCGGCTCCGGCCCGCTCCCAGCCCACCCTCCCGGCGGGGCGGGGGGCCGGGCGGCCGCCGCTTTCGCGGGGCGCGATGGGATTTGTGGTTCCCCGGTAACCGGGAGCGGCCGGCGGCCGGGCGGAACGCCGGGTCCTCCGGGACTACAGAGACCGGCGTGCCCCGCGACGCGCTCCTGCCGGCCGCGGGGCGATGGGGGCTGTAGTTCTGGGGACGGAGCGGGCGTGGGCAGGTCGCTCGCCCCGTTCGGTTGCCGGCCCGGGCCGCCTGGAGAGCTGCTGCCCCCCC